GGGAGTTGGGTGTCTGTTCCGGGGGGAGTTGGGGTGTCTGTTCCGGGGGGGAGTTGGGGTGTCTGTCCGGGGGGAGCTGGGTGTCTGTCCCGGGGGGAGCTGGGGTGTCTGTTCCGGGGGGAGCTGGGTGTCTGTTCCGGGGGAGCTGGGTGTTTGCAGAAGGCGGGTTCGGCGCCGGCGGGAATGCCGCGCTGGTGCCCGCTCTGGGCGCGCGGCGGACCCAGCCGCCGGGGAGCGCGGCCCCGCGGGGCTGTGGGGGCTCCGGCCCGGCCCCGGGGCGGCCAGCGGTCCCCCCGCCTCCCCGGCCTCACCGCCAGCGGAGCGCGGCGCTGCGGGCACGGGTGGCGGCCGCTCCCGCCGGGACTGAAGGCGGTTTCTGCGGAGCCGGGTGGAGGGCCGGGTGGGGGGCCCGGGACCTTCCCCGCCCCGCGCAGTCGGGCTGTGGAGAGGCGGGAAGGGGGTTGGCGCGGAGCTCGCTCCCTCCCCGCGGCCCGGCCCTGGGGTCCTGGGCGCCGATCCCGCGCCCCCGCTCCCGCTCCCGGAGGACCCGGGAGGGCTGTGCTGTGGGAGGGACCGTAGACACACACCCTCACTTCCTAGGAGGAGGAGGAAGCCTGGCCGGCCAGGCGGGCAGGGGGAGAGAAGGCTGAGAACAGGGCTGTCCCCTCTACCCCAGAGTTAGGGTTCGATCCGGTCAGCGCACCGACAAGAATCCACCCACCGCTGCATGAGTAAGTGAAACAACAAATCCCTCTCGCTCTGAAAAAAAAAATCAGTAAAAAGTTTTAAGAGTCCTGGCCAGTGTGACCAGCGACCCATCGATGCTTCTCCCTCACACAGAAGATGCTTCTCTCGGAACATCGATACAATTTATTTTTAAAAGTTAAAGAAAGGGCTACACACCCTCAACTCCAGGAAGATGAGAAGAAACTTGTGGCCACTTTGCACCCAGCTCCGGTCTGGCCTCTGTGGCTCCCCGGCCTGGCCTGGGACCAGTGGCCCGTTTCCCTGCAGGCCTTGCCTTGGGGGGGCGGGGTAAGGAAGTGCCGGCAGCGCCCTCAATCCCGGAGCCCGCAGTGGACTGGACGCCGGGTCCTATCCAGAGGAGGACCCGCTGAGCCTGGAGCAGCTGCCCTGGATCCCTCCTTCCTGCCTGTCCCCCCCCCCCAGCCCGGCTGGGACACCCCGGCCCACAGCCCCACGGGGCCCAGTGCAGGAAGGTGGATCTGCTCTAGTTTCTGCCACGTAACCACCATTTCTGCCACGTAACCACAAGAGCCGCTGGCCAGCCTCAAAAGCACACACTGTCCGATGAAGTGACTTCCAGGGAGATAACTTATTTAAAACAAGACCAAAAGATCTTCTCTCCCCAGGGACTTGGGACGGGGTGGGAGGGTGGGGGTGGGGGAGGGGGGTTGGGGGGGAACAGAGTGGGATCCTGTCTGACCCCAGGAAAGGTCATCACGAACTGCTCAGGACACCTGCCATCGCTGACACCAGGGAATGGAGCGTCATCCTGGTCTGGTCTTTGCTGGGAGCAACAGTGATTCCAGGAAAAGTCGGGGATACGTCCCGGGGCTGGCACAGGGTCAGGAAGGAGAAACTGAGTGGGTGGGTCAGGCGAACAGAGGCTCCCAGCCAGGAAATAGCCACAGACATGGCCCTCGTTGGGCAGCAGGGTTTCTGAGCGACCACATCTGTGCAGACCGGGGCTATGCATCCAGGAGGTGCCAACTGTGTCTCCGCTGGCCCCAGGGGTTGGGGTTCCCTTTCTGTACCTCTTCTGAAGTCTGAACCCTCCCCCCCCCCAAATAAAAATCTCTGTGCTAGGAACCCTCCCGCACCCCCACCTCCTCAGGGACCAAGTCTCTGAACCCCATCCCGCGGGTGGCAGCCTCCGGGAGCCCACCCCTGCGGGCCATCTGTGGCTGCGGATGGGAAGCTGGCTTCATGGGGTGATGGGCCTCAGGTGGGCACGGGCTGGGGGGGGGAACAGTTGGGGAGCATCTGAAGCGGAAAATCCAAGCAGATGTGGGCCGGCCCGCCCCTTTCCTCTGGTGCCTCAATTTCTTCCAGATCAGTTTCCTAATGGAAACATGTTTGGGGGTGGGGGTGGGGTGGGGTGGGGGCTGGGATGTGAAGGCCGCTCCTGAGTCTGGGGAGCTGCCACACGGGCTCAGCGGGACCTGCTGGGAGTGAGGGGCCACAGCAGGCCTGCGGGAAGCCCTGGCCCTCAGTGTGTCCGATCCTCTTCCCGCCAGCAAGCTCCCACCATTCCAGAGTCCGCAGGCTCCTGCCGGGCCAAAGGGAACCCCCAAGGCTGGCTCCCTACTTTGGGGGAGTGCCGGCGTGGGCCCAAAACAACAGGCAGGAGGCCGGGGTGCAGTCTCTTGGAAGGGCCCAAGGCGGTGCCCAGTCCGCGGCCCTGGCCGTGCTGGCCGCTCCACGGGGCCGGGCTTCGTTCCTCCCCAGCTTCCACAGTGCTCTGGCCTGTGGCGTCCTTCCTGGGTGTCCTGTCCGAGGGACCGGCCCCTGACAAGGCCCCAGTCAGGAGGGGGCTCCTTCACTGTTCCACCAGGCAGCCCCCTCCTTCCCTCCCTCCACCCCCAACTCTGAGCTGGATACTTGGGTGGCTCCGTGTTTGGAGCCGATGCGTTGGGGCGGGTGTGCACTGCCCCCTGGGGCATCTGCTGGGCAGGCTTAGGGTCTGAAAGTCCCACAGGATGTGGCTGCGCATCTCCCAGCGCCCAAGGCTGCCCCCAGGCCACGCGGGTCCCCTGTCTCGCCGCGCAGACTGCGGCCCCGAGGAAACCCAGCCTGGAGACCAGTGTGCTCCCCATAACCCCGGAAAATCAGCCTGAAAACACTTCGGGGCACGGAGGCCACTCCGTCCAGCGGGGAGGAGTTTCCTTCTGTGCTGCCAGGGGTCCCGCGTCCCCCGGGGAGAATCCCCGCCCAGCGTCCAGCGGGAGGGGAGGGTTCTCCGGTCCGCACTGAGGACTGGAGGGGGCTGGGGGCGCTGCATCCTCCCAGCCCCGCGGTGCAGGCGGCGCTGGGGGGCTCCAGTGGGGAGCCCAGGGGGATTGGGCCCGGACCCCTGCGCCTCGGGGGAATCGGGACCCGGCCCTCCTCCGTCTGGCACCGGGTGGGAGCCCCACCGCCCGCTCCCGCGGCTTCAGGTCCTGCACCGGCCTGCGGTCAGGACTAAACTCAGGGTGCGGGGGAGGTGCCCCCGCCCCCAGGGAACATCTGGCCTTTGGGGGGGAGGGTCCTCGGAAAAGGCTGGAGCGTCCTGAGCGGAAAGGGGTTCCTGGCGCCGGGAGGAGGCCAGCACCGGCCGTGGAGCCCCGTCCCTCCCGGGCCGGTGGGTGCGAGAACCAGGTCTCATTCCCTCCGAGCACCGCCTCCAGGCCGGCGCCCCAGTCCCACCGCTACACCGGGGTGGGGGGCCGTACCCACCCCCGCGCCCCCGGGGCTGCCCCTGACCCTGCCCTCCGGGGAGCTGCGGTCCTCCCCGCGCACTGGGCTGGCCGAGGTGGGGTCTGTGCGCCCCGGAAGTGCGGAGGGTCCCCCGCGGTGCAGGCACTGGGGTGCAGGGACACCGGAGGACTGGGGTCCCAGGCAGCTGCGAGCGGAGTGTGGCCACGTCCCCCCGGCCCACCGGCACTCGCCACGACCCACCCTTCGCGACCTGAAGCGCCCCGCAGCCACGATCCCCCCAAACCCCCGCAGACTCCCCCAAATCCCCGCAGATCCCCCCAATCCCGGCAGATCCCCCCAAATCCACGCAGATCCCCCCCAATCCCGGCAGATTCCCCCAAATCCCGGCAGATTCCCCCAAATCCCGGCAGATCCCCCCAAATCCCGGCCGCGCTGGGCCGGGCACGGGAGCCGGGCTGCGGCCCTGTCCCCGCCGCCCTGGCCGAGGCCGGGCCTCCCGCCGCCCGCGCCCCGCGGCCCCGGCCCCTCCGGCCCCTCCGCACCCTCCGGGGGAGGCGCCGTGTCCGTGGGCCCCGCTCGGAGGAGAGGGCGCAGGGGCACCTCCAGGCCCGCTCCGGGGGGGGTGCCCCCTTCTCTCCGCCTCCCCGGGGCCGGACCCGCAGGCGGGAAGGGCGAGGGCGCGGGCGGCGCGCGGAGGCTCCGTCTTCCCCGCGGACACGGCCCGAGGGGCGCCCCCCCCCCCCGCCGGCGCCGCGGCGGAGGTCCCGGCACCCCGCCCCCCTCTGCTCCCTCTTTCTCCTTCTCCCTCTTCTCCCTCTTTCTCCCTCTTTTCTCCTTCTCCCTCTCCTCTCCCCGCGCCCCTCCGAGCGCCGCCCGCCGCCCGCCCGCCGCCCCCGGCGCGCAGAGCGCACTCACCGCCGGGCCGCGGGTCCCGGAGCGGAGCGCCCGGAGGGGCGGCTCGGAGCCGCGCTCGGCGGGGAGCCCGGAGGAGCCCGCCCCGCCCCGCCCTCCCCGCCCCCGGCCCTCCGGGCGCTCCGCCCGCGGGCGGGTCCGCCTTAAACACACGCCCGGCCGCACGTGGGCCCGAGCCGCCGCCGCCTCCGACCGACCGACCGACCGCGGGCTCGGGCTCCGGACCGCCCGGGGGAGGCGGAGAGCGCGCCCGCCCCCGCCCATGGCCCCGCGGCCGCCGCCCGCCCGCCCGCAGGGGCCCCGGCACCGCGGGGACGAGCCCTCGGCCACGGACTGAACGGCCCTCCGCCCCTCGCCGGCCCGGCCCGGGTCCAGCCCCGCGGAGGAGCGGAGGAGCGGAGGAGCGGAGGAGCGGGAGGAGCGGAGGAGCGGGAGGAGCAGAGGCGGCGGCAGCGGGAAGCCGGGGTCCGTCCCCGCGGAGCCGCGCCGGAGGAGGCTGTGCGCCCGGAGGACCCGCGCCCGGAGGAGGCTGTGCGCCCGAGGACCCGCGCCCCGGGGCGGGGGAGCGCACCTGCCCGGGGCGCCCGGGCTCACGGAGGGCACGGGCCCGGAGCTCGCCGGGCTAATATGCCCGCAGCCGCGGCGCCATGAAGGAGAAGTCCAAGAACGCGGCCAAGACACGGAGGGAGAAGGAGAATGGCGAGTTCTACGAGCTGGCCAAGCTGCTGCCGCTGCCCTCGGCCATCACCTCGCAGCTGGACAAGGCGTCCATCATCCGCCTCACCACCAGCTACCTGAAGATGCGCGCCGTCTTCCCCGAAGGTGAGCCGCGGCGGGAGCGGGGAGCGGGGAGCGGGGAGCCGGGGAGCCGGGCGCCGTCCTCCCCGCAGCCCCGCGGAGTCCTGGGGAGGCCGGCAGGGCGCTCTGACTCCGGTCCGGCTCAAGACAAGGAGCAGGGCCTTGGAGCCCCGAGACCACACCACCTCCTGGCTGGGGCTGGCTGGGGTCGACAGGGATTAGATCTACAAGCTTGCGATTGCATCCTGCCGACCTTCCTTCCCCCCTTTCCTCTCCTCCGTTAGTTCCTCTTTTCCTCTCCCTCCCGCTTCTCTCGCTCTGTCAGGCGGCAGCCCCTGCACACGGCGGGGAGTGGAGCGCCTGGCCGGCCGTCCTGTAGGCCCAGCGCCCCAGCGCGCCCCGCGGGGCCTCAGGCGCGGCCTCTCCGGGTGCCCTGCTCTGCTCACCTTCCCGGGCTGGGACTCCGGGGGTCAGGGTGTGAGAGAGGGCGAGTGTGGAGCCCAGACTAGGCAGGAGAGAGAACCGCCGACTAGCTGGAAAATGGCAGGCAGGCCTGAGCACAGTCTTGTTTCCCGATTGGAATGAAAAACCCGGAGGGGCAGGTGCCAGGGGGCCAGGAACTCAGGGTCCGCAGACTCAGGGTGCTGAGAGACGGTGGGGTGTTTGGGCGGGCATTCTGTGCTGGCACTGGCCTGCGGTGACCAGTGGCCGGGCAGGCAGCCGGGTGGGCAGCCTCTCGGGGGACGGAGGCCCGGTCAGCGCACCTTTGCTTCGGCGCCCGGGGGTTCTGAACCAAGGTCCCTGCAGCCGCTGTGTCCTCTGGGGGTTTGCTGCCTACGCCGGAGACCCCACACTTGGGGTGATGGGTGCCCAGGACCCATGGGGCTGAGTGGGTCCGAGCCCCGGTGAGCAGGGAGCCAAGCTCACTGGCAGGGCACAGAGGGTCTCTGCAGAGCGGCGACAGGTGTCCTTGCAGCCAGCTCCTGGGCCCCTGAGGCCGCTCGGCCAGACCATCGGCCCAGCCCTAAGCTCAACACCTTCACCTCCGCAGCGCTCAGCTGGTCACCGGCTCCTCTGGGCCAGGAGCTGCCGCACACCACCTCGGTGCAGCGGTGAGGGCCTGGCTGCCGGCTCCGCTCGGCTCCGGCTTGCTGCGTGGCTGACGGGGAGCGGAGCCGGAAGCAGCGGCCTGGCCTCTGGTGCCTCCCAGCCGGCCTGCCGCCGGGCGCTCTCCTCGGGGAGCAGAAGCCTGAGACCCGCCGGCCTCCCTTCCCTTCCCAACCCCATCGGAGGAGCTGCCGGGCGGGGTGACCTCTCCGCTCCCCTGCCGGTGAGGTTTTCCGGGAAAACTCAAAGGGGATCGGAGTTTACACTGGCCGGTTCTTCGCACCCGGGAAGGAGGGTGCCAACTGGTGTGCTCCCGTGAGCTGTTTTTATTTTATTTTATCGGAATGCTACAGGGAGGTATGGGCCCAGACAGGACGCCCACCTCCCCTCCCCTGCCCTCGTTGGAAATTACATACAAAGAAACAACCCGAAGAGTTCATGATCGGTTGCCAACAGATTTCAAACGAGCCAGAAATTCGTTGGAAGGGAGGTCTGGCGGAGGAGGCCTCGTTGGAAGCGGTATTTTGTCCGGGGATTCCCGGGAAAACCCGCTAAACGTTAGGGAGCTGCTGTCTGCTGTGGCAGAGAGTGAACCCGGGGCTCTGCGCTCCGGCCTGGAAACCAGGCTCCGGTGTGTGGGCCTGAATCGCCGTCCGGCCCCTGTGCGGTTCCGCAGTGACCTGGCTGTGGCCTCCGCGGCGGTGATGGGAGGTTGGAATTCCAGGAGCACAGGCAGTGCTGGGAAGAGCCCTGAGCCTGCTGGGGAGCCAGCCAAGGGGATGGAGAGGGGGTGGTTCTGACCAGACTCCCCTGGAGTGGGGGCGCCGGCCTGGAGGGGGGCAGACAGCCTGTGGCTCTTTGCACCCAGCGGCCTCTGGCCTGCACCTCTGGGCAGCTGCGCTGCTTTCCCTCAGGTCAGTTTTGGGACAAGACTTGTGATGCAGGTGCCAGGGGAGGAGAGAGGGAGGGAGAGGGGGGAGAGGGAGGGAGAGAGTTTAGAAAGCGCTCAATTATGCAAGATTACCGGCTCACCTTGCGCAGTAGCTCGCAGGGGCAGCGGAGGCGGCGCTGTAATTGATTTAGCCCGCTCAGGGTTAGGGTCCGCAGGGGATGTGGTTCCATTGGAGGAGCTGAGAGAGCCACAGGGGAGGATGCAGGCATCCAACGGGTTTTAGGGCCAGAGCGCCCTGGGCAGCGCCAGAGCTCAGGGTCTGCAGGGCTCTTGGCCTTGGTGGAAAGATGCCGGGCAGAACCGGCCCCAAGCCAGCCTGGGCCGATGCTCCGTAGCCCCGTACCAGGCCGGCGGGGAGGAAGGTCTAGGGCTTCGGGCTCAGAACAGAGCAGCAGAAGCCGAAGGAACCCCAGGACTCTCCGGGGAACCTTTCCAGGCGGCTCCCCAGGCCCCACAGGGAAGGCCAGAGCAAGCCTGTGCCCGGGTCTCCCTTCGCCTCTTCCTTCTGCTGGCTCCTTCCATCTTAGTCTGAGGGGGGAGGAGGGAGCAGGGAGCCCCCAGGGGCAGAGCAGCGGCCGAGGGAGCTGGGCCTCTCATGGCTCCACTCTGAAGCTGCCCACCAGCCCTTGGTCCCCGTCTGTGCCATGGGCTGCACGGGGTTGGAGTCTGGCTGTGCGGGTGGGACTCAGACCGGTTCTTACCCGTCACGCTTCCTGTGAGCTCCGTGCGGCGTGTCCCCGGCCACACGCCACCTCCACGGCAGTCAGTGGACCCCCTCCCCCCCACACACACACAGACACACAATGGCAAGACCCGCACATGTTCTCCCCGAAGACGGAGAAGTGGGCCCGGGGTAGGAATGGACGCAGGGGGCAGAATGGCAAGGCAGGCTTCGGAAGTGGATGCAGGAGACTGAGGGTTCTGGGTGGTGGGGAGGCAGGGGTGTGGGTCCGCCTGCCCTCCTTCAGCTCAGCCTGCCCTCCAGGAGCGCCCCAAGCCCCCAGGGTGGGCACTCCCTGCTGCTCTGTCTGATGGCGGCCAGACCCAGGGCCAGCGCCATGCCATCGGTGCAGGGCAGCGGCTGCGGGGTTCCGTGGCCTAACCCCCCCCCCCCCCCCCACCGAACCCCCTTCCCCTGAACAGAGGTTTGAGCTCCTGGGCCAGCCAGCACACGCCGTCCCCCGCAGGCAGGGTGAGCAGGAGGATCTGGCCAGAGGTGGGTCAGGAATGGAGTTGGAAACTGAGGCTGACTGTGGAAAGGAGACCGGAGCCCCCTGACCCCACCCCCGGGCCTGAGGACCAGTCAGGCGTGGGTGCCAGGGGGGGAAGAACTGGAACATTCATGGCTGGGAAGAAGCAAAAGCCTCCCTCGCTCACAGCGGAGCGGGCGGGAGGCCTGGGGTGCTGGGGTGTGAGGTTTGTCTGTGTTCAGATTTGGGCAACCCCTCCCCGCCCCCCTCACACGCACGTTCCAGTGCCAGGGGGTAGGGGGCCTTCTTAGGAGTTGTTGTCTGGAGCCTAAACGTTTTGCTTCAGAGGATTTGGGGAGAACAGACACCCCTACACCGACGCAGGGTGACCGGGCGAAGGCCTTTCTATGCGCAACCCGAAATAATGTCGTTTTTTAAAAACAGACTTCGTTTTTAGAATCCGGGTCTTTGCAGCCCTCTCCCATGCTTGGAAGCCCGTCAGGCAGTGGCCTGGGTCCGAGGGGAAGCTGGGTCTCCAGCAGGATGCTCTGCAGCCGGTGGGGGAGATCCAGGGCTGACACTGGGAGGAGGGGATGGAACTGGGGCAGCTGGTCAGTCCGGGCTCTGGGTGCCATGGAAGCCTGGCCCGCTGTCGCCCCTGTGGCCCGCTGCTCCCTCCTGTCCTGAGGCCTGAGCATCAGGAGCAGGGTGTGGGGGGTCTTCCGTCTGTGTGACCGCTCACAGCACTGGCCTGCGGGCAGGGCCAGCTGGAAGCCCACTCCCTTCTCTCTTGCATGGCCTTTTGGGACACCTTACCACCCCGTTCCTTCACACCGGGTCCCTGCGGGGGCGTGCGGATGGTTTGGAGAAGGCTGGGGTCTTCAGGGAGATGACATCCAGGGCCGGAGAAGGACTCGGGCCCGGAGGCCAGAGTCCGACAGTCCCCGGGCAGCCCCGCTCCTCACAGGCTGCCCCCAGCCTCTGCCCGGGGTGCCCGCCCTGCCTGAGTGTGTGTGTGTGTGTGTGTGTGTGTGTGTGTGATGGGGGTCAGGGGAGCAGTGACAGGCAGTGTGCTGGCTCCCTCGCTTGGGGAGAGGACGATGGCCGCCATGGAGAAGGGGGCACTGGTCCTTCCCCTCCCTTCCCCCCTCTTGACTCCAGGAGTGGTTGGCAAGTGGAGAGGGTGACCCCAGTGTCTTCAGATGGTCCCCGAGCACACCCTCCCTGGGCGAGGAGGGAGTCTGTGGGGGGAGGGGAGCGGAGGCAGAGGCTGAGGCAGGGGTGGGGAGAGGGAGAGGAGGAGACCACCGGGGTGGCGGGCACAGCTGGACTGGCTCTCCGCTGGCACCTGTGAGCTCTGCTCATTCCCCCAGCACCCCCGTCTCACAGGTGACACAGGCTTCGGGTGGCACTCACCATCCAGGCGCCGGCTGGCACCTTGAGGGAGGAGGGGGGGGTGAAGCCCTGTGTTCCTGGGCGGGGTGGGGGCGGGGGTGGGGCTCCCAGAGGCTCCCGGGTTCTCTCAGGCCTAGACCCAGTTTCTGTCGGGGAGCGCCGGGCAGGCCCTGTGCTAACCTGCTCCATGGCAGAGCCCCGTGAGCAGTGTTTGTGTCCGGCCGGCACCCAGGCTGCCGGTGCTGGCTCTGTCCGGGGAGCTGGTGTGGGCGTCCAGGCTGTGCTCTGCTCCTGTGGGTCTCCCCTCCTGTGTCCCCTCATCCGAGAGTGTGACCCCCTTTCCCTGGGAAAGCGTCTTACTTGTGTGGCCCCTGCAGGCCCAATGGGTGCTCAGAGCGTGGGGGAGGGGTGTACGCTGAACAGGGAGCCCAGCTGAGTGCCAAGGCTAGGCGCCCACGAACTCTGGAAGGCAGAGGGGAGGGGTGCCTGGGCCCCTTCCCCTCCCCCTGACCCGGTGGGATCCCAGGGGGCAGGGAGCCCCCCCTGCCTCCAGGGTTCCCTGCTGCAGGCCAGGGGGACCGGCCCCGGTGGGCTTAGGGCTCGGGCTGGGCTGCTGGCCTCACTGAGCGGGAGGCTCCCAGGTCTGGGCAGGACAGGGGCACAGTGACACCCTCAGCCACAGGCCGGCACCCCGAAGAGCTCAGCACCTCCTGGTCCCTCATTTTTCTTTCAAAGCCCTTTGTCATGTGCAGATAAGCCCCCCCCACACACACACACAGCACCTCACTTTGGGGGCGCATGCTGGTTACAAACGGCACTTTTTTAGTCTTGCCTCCTGCCCACAGTGGGTTTTATGGGCTGAGTGAAAGGCCTGCCCACAGCGGTCTCTGATGGAAGAGCTGGCAGCTGGCACCCCGTGGGTGACACAGGCGGATGTGAGGGGAACGTCACACCCCCACCCCCCGCCTCCACAGATGGTCACTCTGTGGCACCGGGGCTGGAAGGAGTGCCCTGACCACTTTCCTCCGTAAGGAGCACCCGGAAGTGATGAGAGGGGAGCAGGCTGGTTCCTGGATTTCTGGGAAATTGTCCATCACACCCTGTACGTTCGCAGGGTGGCTGTTGGGGAGTCTGGTGCAGGGCCATTCCCAAGGGTGTGTAGACCTTCCCAGGTCACTGGGCAGGGAACCTTCCGGAAGCCACGGCCAGGTACCGCTGAGCCAGGAAGGGCGGTGAAGGAGAGCGAGCAGGGCGCATCCGTCCGTTTTCGGAAATCTGAATTCCTGGTCTTTATGAGATTCTTTCTTCATTTAAGCCTGGCGGGGAAAAGGGGGGTTCAATTGTGGTCCTTTGGGGTTCTGGTTAGTGGGGGACTCGCTGCCACTGCCCACACACACGGGGCTGAGGCCTGCGGTGAGGGGCAGTGGTCACTCTGGTCATGCGGTCCCCCCTGGGGGAGGGAGGGGTGTGCTGAGGACCCAGGCAGCTCTGCCACGTGGCGGAGGCGCAGGCAGTGGGGGGGGCGGGGGGGGGGGAACCGGGATGAGCCCTGAATTCCTAGAGCCCGGGTGGGAGAATAAAAGGGGTGATTTTCTGTTCATTTTTCTGCTTACGTTCCCGGGAGGGTCCCCGAAGCCGCTGGGGCCCAGGCTCCTCAGGACTCCAGGCCGCAGCTTCCCCCCTCGGTGCGGTTCCACCTCGGGGTCACAGCCGCCAGAAACGCAGGCCCGTCCCCTCGGGGATCACGGGGACCCCCAGCGCCTGCCACACTCCCTGCCCCCCACTCCCTGTCCTCAGTGGTTTGGGGACCCAGGACCGTGCGTTCGGGCCCTGCCGAGCAGCCTGGAGGGGACCCTCGGGCTGGAGGTCGCTGGTGGAAGGCGGACAGACGGGCGCAGGCGGACCGTGGCCGTGGCCTGGGGCGCAGGCCCTGCGGAAGGACTCCGGGACCCTGTGTGTCCCCGGTGCCGCGGCCTCCGGGCTCTCCCGCCGCCTCCGGCGCAGAGGGAGCGGCCCGTCACAGCCTGGGCCGGCGCCGGGGTGGGGGGCCGGGCGCCTCCTGCAGCTGGAGGGGGGGCGGCCTCCGGAGGTGATGGGGCGGAGGCCTGGGGGGCTGTGAGGGACCGGAGGGCCTCGGTGGATACAGGGCTGCCTTCGGTCCATCGCAGGGAGAGCCCCCCAGCCCCAGGCAACCTCCCCGCGGGCCGGGATTGGACGGGATGGCGCCTGGGGCTCCGGGGTGACCGAGGGCGAAAAGATTTCTTATTTTATTTCATTCTTAAACGCAAGCAGAGCTGCCGCCTGGACTCAGGGCTCCGGGCTCCTCTGTCTTGGGGAAATGCAGTTGCAGGACACGGGGAGGGAGGGAGGGAGGGTCCTTGGGGCAATCGGTTCGGGTCAAGTTGGGAACTCTCTCCAGTCTTTTGCATTTCAATGGAGGCGCTGGTGCTGGGAGTCAGGGGTGGGGGGGGGAGGGGAATGCTGGGAGTGAGGGGTTAGGGCCCTGGGGGGGAGGGGGCACTGGGAGTGAGGGGTTTGGGGGGGTGCTGGGAGTGAGGGGTTTGGGGGGGTGCTGGGAGTGAGGGGTTTGGGGGGGCGCTGGGAGTGAGGGGTTAGGGCCCTGGGGGAGGGGTGCTGGGAGTGAGGGGTGGGGGGGGAGGGGAATGCTGGGAGTGAGGGGTTAGGGCCCTGGGGGTGGGGGGCGCTGGGAGTGAGGGGTTAGGGCCCTGGGGGGAGGGGGTGCTGGGAGTGAGGGGTTCGGGCCTTGGGGGGAGGGGGTGCTGGGTGAGGGGTTCGGGTGCTGGCTGGCCAGCTCGGGCAGTCCTGCCTCACTGATCTGCTCTGTCCCCTGCCCAGGTCTTGGAGACGCGTGGGGACAGCCGAGCCGCGCGGGGCCCCTGGACAGTGTGGCCAAGGAGCTGGGGTCGCACTTGCTGCAGGTAGGGCTGTGCGGGGGGGGGGGGGGGGGGTCATGGCTGCCCGCAGCACGGCTGGAGGCTTCTCTCCCTCCCCTAAGCGTTCGGAGTGCACCCACAGGCCATCTCGGCTGCAGAGGGGAGGCAGCCCAGGGGAGAGACGGTGCCCGGACCTCCGAGCCAGCGGCTCCCTCAGCTGCCAGGGCTCGCACCCGCACCCAGGCCGGGGGACCTGTGGCCTCAGCTCCGCCAGAGCCGCCCGCCCCTCCCAGTGTCCCTCCGCCCCCGTTCTAGGCCTTAGGGCTCCGCCGGGCGTGGCTAAGTCCTTTCCAACCTCACCCCCCCCCCCCATCTTTGGGGAGCCCCGCTCCGTGCCTGCGGCTGGGCCAGCGAGGAGCCAGCGGGCAGGTCAGGGCGCTCCGAACCAGCGGGCCTCCCGGGCGACAGCTGTGGTGCTTGGGGGAGAGACCCATCGCCCATAGAACATGAACAGCTGGAGCTCCCTGAGAGCCAGATCCTCCTAAATCTTCCCGTGGCCTCCGGCCTCCCACCCACCTGGAAGGCGTTCTGTTCCCAACTCCACTTTTTAAGGAGGAGGAAGCTGAGGCACAGAGAGGTGAAGCAGCTCGCCTGAGGCCACACAGCAAGTGGGGGAGCGAGGTTCTGTCCAAATGGTCCCTCTGCCCGGCACATGGGGGGAAGGAGCCTCTCTTGGCGTGTGGTCAACCACTTAGCGCTCCCCCCCCCCCCCCCCCGTTCAGTCCTCAGCACTTCCGCTGCCCCGCCTGGGTCCCCGCAGGGCCCGGTGCCCATCCCCGCGGCGGCGGGCGCTGGGCGGGCGGGTCAGAGCCGTCCACACGCCCTCACAAAGCCGCTCAACGGCCCATTCATCCCGGCCGCCATTCGTCTCTGCCACCGCGGCCGCCGGCGGGTTTTCTTTACGGAAAACGGGAGCTGGCGGCCGACCGGCCACTTGGGTCCGAGTCAGCGGAGCCGCGCGGGGAAGAGCAGATCTTTTCAGACCCTTCGCCCCGGCGCCGCCTCTGACTTATGTTTGAGATCGCGGCTCCCGAGCGCGGCCGGGGCGTCGGAAACCGGGGCTGGGCCCCTGCGCGGCGGCGGGCGGGACGGTGCCCTGGAGCCCGGCCTGCAGGCCTCTCCGCCCGCCCGGCCCGGCCCCGGCCCGGCCTGGCCCCGCGGTGTTTCCCGTGTTAGATGCCCCTGCGCATTACAAGTGACACTAATGTGGGGCAGCTGAGTGCCCGGGGCCGGGAGAGCCTGGCGGCACAGCCTGCCCCTCGGTCCCGCTGCCAACCCTCTCGGCACTGAACCCTCGGTGCGTGCGGGCCCGCGCCCTGGCCCTTTGCAAGCGAAACTTTGTACGGCGAGGGCGTCCCAGCGTTCGCCATGGGGATGTTATTTTTAGCTCCTGCTGGCGGCGGGCAGAATCTGATTATGATAATTCTCCTTGGACTCACACGGCTCCCTGTCAGAGGCTGTTCGTTAATGTATCGTTCAGGCGCCCGGAGCCCAGTGAGAACGCAGAAGGCGCCCCAACGCCAAACTCGGGCAGCTTTGGCACTGGCCCTGCCGTTTGGATTTGTGCATTTAGCTGGGGTGATGGGGGGCGGGGGGGGGGGGATTGTAGCTGTGTTAGAAACAGGGGAATCAGGCTTCTCATGGAGGGAGAGGACCGGAGAGTTTCGCTGGCAAAGGGTTCTTGCAGCGAAAACTCATTGGGAGAGAGAGGGGAATGTGAGGGCATCTTCCAAGTTTCACTTCGGCGGCATTCTTACCCCCTTCCCACGGAGGGCGGGTTTAGGAAAAAGCCAAAGGTAATCTGGTTCCAATTACACGCCGTAAAAATAGAATTTGTGGCCAGAAATTAATTCGGAATATTTTTTATGGGGGCAGCGTTGTGGGCTGTATAGATCCTTCGCAGATTTTATTGCTTTTCTTTAGTCCCGGATTTAAAATATGAATGGGTAAATACAGTGCAGTTCCCTTTTAAAAAAAAAAAAAAACAACTTATAGTGTTTGTTTGTGGTTTTTTTTGTCCTTGCCACATATCAATATGTTCAGTAGCTTTTTATGTGTCTTCATGACCTCTTATAATTTTACTTCATTTTTTTTTTGAGGGCTGGCCAACGCTGGCCAAATCCGAGGACCACGGAGGCAGTTTTAACTTCTCAGAAACCAATCCTCCTTCTCCGTGAATTTTTGCAAAGGTTGTGTGAGACCATTAATTCTGTAGACACAGTCTGTTCAAATAACCCGGTATTTTCTTTTCTGGGGAGCGGTGGTGTTTGGAATTTATTATTCAAATGGTCCTTAGCGGTAACTAGAATATCGTGGCAAATAAAGCACATGTCCTCGTGGTATAAACACCGCCAATTATGACATAAAATGGTCTATAGGGCGGCCGATTGTCCCCTAAGCACCATGCAAACTCCGGATCTGTGCTAAGCGCTGAAACAACCCCGGACAATAAAGCTACTGCATTTAAACCGGGCGCGAGAGGAATTCTCAGACGCTTCGCCTGATTTTGCGATGTGCGTGCCGGGCTGTTTTTACGGCGTTTAAAAGCACCGAAGAGCCTGGTGCGGGACTCCACGCTGGTGTGACTCACAGCCCTTCCCGGGTCTGGGATCTGTGTTTTTGTGGGGTTTTTTTTTTTGCATTTGCCAAATACGTGTTGGCGATCGTATTTTACACAATCCCCCATCCCAGCGAGAGCACAGTGATCAGACTTAACCCTCACGTACGCCTGTCCTCTCTGACCGGCTTTCTCTTCCAGACCCTGGACGGCTTTGTGTTCGTGGTGGCGTCGGATGGGAAGATCATGTACATCTCGGAGACGGCCTCCGTGCACCTGGGCCTGTCCCAG